CAAAGCCTTCGGAATAATTTTATGGATAGCAGTGACAGAGAAGATCGCATTTCGGAAAGACGTATATGTACGTCCGGAGCAATTTACGCACTGGCTGAGCGAGACGTTTATGTACGCCGGCGGCACTTAAGAAGTAAAAGTGGTGTTGCAGCTTTAGCATCAGAGTATCTTTTTTTCGAATTTGATGCATTGTTATTGTATGAAGGGGGGGGGGGGGTGATGAAAATTATGATTGAATATTGGGTCGCAGGTAGTGAAAGTTTGAAAAACACTGCTGTACACCATCGATTAGTCGAAAGACAGTAGACAGTGGAGTTGGTTTGTGTCTAGGTCTGTGAGAGTTTTAGTCACGCACCTTTATTTGTTGCAGTTTACCGTCTGTATGTGAAAGTGACACAGTATGTTATATACCAGTGGCTATTAAACTGTGGTACACGAACCCCTGGGTGTTTGCAGTGCCTTTTTCGGGGGTCCGAGGAATCTCAAATGAACGTTGAGGTTTCCCTCTTTTGCAGACATTGAAAAGCCTTGTGGAAAAATGGAAAGATTGTGACGGGCTCACGCGTCTTTTCTTTAACATGACCTCTGGGTTCTTTGGAGGTCAAGATTAATGGCAACTCTTTTCCAACCAAAAACCAAGAAGCGAAACGTGAAGCAGAAATGCAAATGAGATAGCTTTTAAATAACAGAAGTTTCAGTAAGTCATATGGCAATTTGGGGAATGTTATGTGCGAGAGTGATACAAGCGTGAATATTGACAGCCAGTTGAAGTTACCTTGAAGATTAAGCCATTAGGTCAAGGTGCATACCATTGCACGCTCGCCCAGACGCCTCTTCATAAGATTGAAGCTAAGATTGGATTAAGGTAGGATTGACTATTTGATATTAGGACTTGTAATATTATTAGAAGTGAGATTTGGCGGGTTAGCTATTGATAGTGGTCCAAGTTACGCAATTCGGTATAACTATTACTGTGTGTTTGTTCATCGTAGATTCTCTCTTAACTATAATCATCTAAATTGTTATACGCTTAAGTTACATTCTTAATTAAGTCATATTATGAATTTAAAAATGTCTATTCCTTTTGTAAACCCTATACATCTAGCTCACGCGGATAATCAAAGAAACGGTCCCCTTAGGGGGTGGTTTCACAAGATGTGCTGTACTGGTCTAGACCACTAGATTGTCCCCAATAAGAAAATTCTTCAAGAACTTGTATTTGGATCAAGAATATTAAGTTGGAGGCGGATGTTCAAAATCTTGGGGGTTCGTGATGTTACGCTGATTCATAAAGGGGAAAGGCGATCGAAAGTGAAAGAACTACTGCTATATACGTCTACTTAAAAGGGTCGAGGCCGGACCTACTTTTGAGCAGGAGCCCTGGGTCTCAAGAAACCTTAAGACGTCACTGGGCATGATTTTATTAGAAATAAATAATTATGAAACGATTTGGTCGAAAATAATTTGTATATTTACCAATGGTGTAAATAAGGTTGGGGTTTAGGGGTTCAAATTCCTCCCATACACCAACAGATTTTTAATTCTTAGCTTAAAGGGTAAGTTTTAATGCTTTCGCGACTACGTTTTTCAATTCATACTATTACTTCACTCTCTCCCTATA